TCTCTGGAACTAGGACGCTTGCTGTACCGAGAGACTATGGGTGCCATTCGTGCTTCTGCTTTTAATTTCGCATTTTCCATAATGACATTCTTTGTCTCCTTCTGGCTTTCCAATAGTGCATTCTCCAGTTCTCTGATCTTCTGTTGAATTTCAGCACCATCATCGCCGAACATAGGAGCTCTCATCATATTCTCTCTTTTCAGCTGTGCGTTGGCTTCGGATAGAGCGAGGTTGGCGTCTTTCAACTGTTGTCGTTCACGGATGGAACCTTCTAGGACTTCGTTGTTGAATATTTCTCCTTTTGCGATAACCTCCTTTGCGACGTTTGCTTCGTATTCATGGTGGCTCGCCTTCATTTCTGCCATTTCTTTAGCAGAGACTTCAGTCTGGCATACAAATATCTCCATCCTCATGCCCACTTCCATCTCTTCTATCTCCGCTCTCGCGTTGAGTTCAGCTCCACGCGCCATAGCTAGTTGACCTCGTAGATGATCAATAACCATAGCTTCCTGATTGCTCTGATCTTGAGATGAGTGAACACTGTGTTGAAGACGTCTTTCCCTGACCTCACTGTTCCATTGTTCTTCTCTCTGGTGTTGGATCACCTCGTGCATGTTGACATTCTCATCCTGTAGCGCAATCATTCTAGCTTGTATCTGGTCAGCTATTCCGACGAAGGCTGTGTTCTCATCCTGAATGGCTTTTGATCTTCTATTGATCGCCAATGAAGATTCATTCTGTTCTTGGATGTGTCCAATTGCTGCTTGAAGCTCTTGGGACATTCTGTCCTTCGTTGCTTTCACAGATTCAAGCTCTGAATGTTCTTGATGAGTTTCTTGTGCAAGCTCTTGATATCTCATGTAGATATGTTCAGCTGTCGATTCCGCCAAGCGTAGCTTGTGTTCGAGCTCTTCAATTCTTATTGTCGCTCCTTCATCTTCCTGTGTCATCTCTTGTAGATGTTCCTGCATCTTCCTGTTGTAGTCAGACATTTGCCTGAACTCCACTTCAGCCTCGTGGTGTAGTCGTGAGTATCCGGCTTGGATGCATTCATATTCTTCATGAAGAAAATTGTATGCGTTTCTCGCCGATCTCAATTCTTCACCCAGCTGAATCTCTCTTCTTTGCTCTTTTGTTCCTCTATCATCGTCACGTCTCTTCTCTATACTCCTTCTTGGGGATCTCGCGGTAGACGTTATAGGCGATGTAGATCTCGTTGTAGCTCTCATCGATCTTCTTGGTCCTACGGGTGCAAGATCGGTCAGATTCCGAGCCGGTGGCACGGATCTTTCCGAGATTTGTGATCCAGTAGGCATAGTGATAACGTCAGCATTTGCTGATGAGTCAGTACCCATTGTAGAGTCTGGTGACGAAATGGTGTTGGGACCACCAGGAGCAGCGAATGAATAGGGTTCGCTTCCATTTCCTCCTGAGCTTGACATTGCAGGTTTCTGTAATGACTAGTCTTGTTCTTGGTCTCGTGTAGCTCGTACGGCTATAAAGAGCGCGTACGGCTGATAACCTGCGAGTGGATCTTAATCAGCGAAGTTTGAAGCTATCACTGACGATCCATAAGCGGCGTAGCGTCGGAACGGAAACCGCACCTTTTCTAGTCGCTTGATCCTTGAGCCAAAGTACATATGGTACATATATATGTACAAGTTGCACTGTACGTGTCGCTGCACTTCCATTCGCAATATGTGTATTTATATATTTGTTGGCATTTGAAAATGAAGTTATAAACTAACGTAATTGATGTTGCGCTGGGATGGGGCGATGTCGTCTTCACGCGAGGGAAACGCCTTAATCTATTGATGGACGCTTGCGTGCACCTTGTGGAGTTTGTCATGGCCAGGAATCTTGCTGACGACGTGTCACCATGTTCATCGGCCCATACTATCACTGCAAACGCATTGTTTCTTCTTCAGGCGCCGCACCTGAATTTGTGGGCAGACCGCGATGTTTACAGTACAACTTTACAAACTTTACAGCAGCTGCCGCCATCTCATGTGGGAAGCCTGACGCCCACAGCTTCGAACAAAAGAACTTGTCTGCTGCGCCAACACTTTGGGGCAAACTGTTCAAGCCCTCAACGGTTGGGCGGACAAGTTGGACGCAACAAAATCATAAAAAATCTACCCAAAATTGGCCTTGCTGCATCAATGCTGCATCAATGCTCAGCAAATGTTCCCATACCACTTCTGCAGGTGGGAAGCAGAAAACATGAACACAAGGTGTCTGTGGCAAAGGAAGGTGTCAGTAGTATTCCTGTGCGAGTTGATAAATTTATATATGCGGCATTTGCAAACAACCATGACCAGCTGTGACTAGCTCGGACCCACAGTTCAACAGTTCAACACTAATACTTCCAAAAATGCCTTCTTCAAATCCCTCCATGGGCCTTGTGTTGAATCACAAAGTTTGCCTGGCCACTGTACCTGCCATTCGCAACGATCTTCCAAGCCAATAATGACGTTCTCTGTCGGTTTGCTTGTCAGTGAATCTGAGTTCCCCTTGTACTGTAAGATCCTCTCGTCCTGGCCTCTGGCTGAATCGCCTCAAGTCATCCTCCTACATTGTACAGAGCTGCGAGCTGCTTGGATGCTTCATGGCAAAGAAATGGCGCGCGATTGCTTTGGGATTCTTGGGTGAGGGGAAAGCTTACAGATTTGTTTCAACTGGGGACTAGTTCAAGCACAGACTTATCTGGCAGCAAAAGCTAAAGCTCCCTTCCTTCCTCCCTTGCTCCCATCCTTCCTTCAATCCTTCCTTTCTGTATTGCTGGATAGGGTTCTGACAAAAAAGTACTGAAACAGGAATCTTGAAGGCATTCTTCCCATCATCAAAACGAACAATTCCGACACCCAGCTAATCCGTCCTCGTAACACCCGAACTTGTGGCCATACTGCAAAGCACACTGCAGCTCGCAGACCTGGCGAAGGTACCATCTAAAACATGTCTTGCTGTACGCAATGGACAAGTTGGAACAACACGTCTTCTGAAGGTTGGAGGCCATTGCTATTAAATAGGTTGGAGGCCATTGCAACAACACACTGCTTCTTTCCTGTGCCTGGTCACATTGCTGGTGTGCAGACCGAGAGCCATAGTAGTGGTCATAGTCACCTGCCCAAACTATGGGGCAAAAGGTCGAAACAAATGACACAGACTTGTTCTTTTCTGGTTGTAAAAGAAAACCAATGAAGAAAAAAAATATGCAAAACGAATGTAAGGCCCCTCTTTATTTTTAAGGAGACCTGACCTTCCTTTTATGTCATCTCTTTGTCTTTTTGTTTTCTTCTGTATACATATAAATCACACGCGATAACAACTTCACCGCGGTAGCACCGACCGATTGTAGCCTCCGGCAAAAAGGATGGTCTCACCCCAGTTGCCGCGGCGAGAGCACATGCAGCAAGTCTCACCCACGACGCCATGCCCCCAACCCCAGTCATTGCCTGGGCAAGGATCCCTGTGAGGACCAATTGGTCAGCAAGGAAGCAGCCGTTTACTTTCAAGAACTGCAGCTCCTTAACATTTTCTTGAGGCCATCGCTACTACTGATTCTCCTTGCAGCTGAATCTCCACCATTCCAGCCTTGGGCGCCAGGCCAGCGCCCACGGGCCCGTCCAAAGGATCGCGGTCTGCTCTCCGTGCTCTTCGTCACTTGCGATCCTCGGAGTCCCCGGACAGCGCTGGGCACATCCGATCTGGGCTGTGTCAGGTTGCTGAGATTGGCTGGGTGCAAGGGCCTTAGATTGATCAAGACACCAGGCGAATAAAGTGGCAAGAAGCAGACTTCCCCCACAATTGAAGCAACCGAAATGTTCATGCACAATCTCGAAGCGTTACAGTGGTTTCAGAGTAGATGGCGCAATCCCCAAAAGGTGGTTTAGATGGACCCCAATATAAAACACATCTTGGGGGTTGTGCCATCTACTCGGAAACCACTGTACATCAATCAAAAAATAACAAAAAACGTGCCATTCAACCAGGGAATCGGTCTTCTCTCAAAAAATATTTGAGCTTTCGAGCACGTGTCCATCGTACGTGTCACAGCTTTGTAGTCACTCTACCCCCAGGATTCATGGTTTGTAACCAGAGATTTTGAGGAGGCACTCAGTTGCCTGTAAATAGCAAAGGACTTTTGGCGTTTCAGGCTTTCAGCATCGGTTTTGGCAATCGAATGACGGATAATTTATGATATTAGAACACTTTCACGTTAATCAACATGTACGGTTCAATATTGAACCCGAAAACCCAAAACCCTTAGTGCAAAACGCACGAAGCGCGCAGCGGAAACAAGCCTTTTCACGCAAG